TAAATCAGTGAGAAATTATTAAAAACTTTCAAAACAACAAACATTCTTTACAGCTTAATTTCTGTGCAAACACAAGAATAAAAAAGGGATTATCCCTTTAAAAATAAGTGAAAAAAATTCAAGTGAAATGTTTGCTATCCTTAGTCTTATTAATATAATGTGCCAAAAGTTTACTCCATACAAGTGCCAGCTTCAGTGTGGCACACCACCAACATGTCCAAATTCCTTACCTGAAGGATAAGACCTCCAAATAAGAGATCTGCAGCACATAAAAAGCAATCAACTCCTCAAGCCACAAACAGCCAAGATCATTCGCCATCATCCAGGGTAACCAAGAGAGCTCACAAATATCATGGAAGGAGCACAGGAAAAAAGTACATTGTATATTATCATTTAAACCATTAGTTATTGTCACAATGTGCAGGCGCCTGTCTCTTGACTGTCATGGTGTGCATGTCTCTTTTGCTTCTCTCCCTCTCTGCAGCTCCCCCCCCTCCTGCCCCCCCATCCTGTCACGGCCCTTTGATTTGAGCCATCCAGACTCCCCCCTCTCCTGTCTCTAAGAAGCCCTAGTCCTGGGGCATGTCCCGGGAGGAAGAGGGTGGGCACCTCACCAGGGAGTACAGGCCGCGGTAGCCACACTGACGTCGCACGGCCCCGACACACAGCGCCAGCACAGAAGTTTTTCCCGGGGTTGCACTACTCAGAGGACAAAGGCCACGCTCCCGAGAGCACAGCCCGTGTCAAGGGGGCATGCCTTGTTGCCGGGCGACGTGGCACGCTGCCCCCAGTTGCTAGGGCGACCAGGGACGCTCCACGCAGGCTTAAGAAGGCCTGCGGGGAGGGTCTTGTAGTTCTTCATCGCTGTGCAGCTGCCAGGAAAGGTCTGCGCTCTGAGGCGAGACCCCTGGAGCACTCTGCAAAAGACCCCAAAGGGCTTTTAATGCCGCCCCTGAGCTGGGTGGAGTTATTATTAGTGCTGCTGCCCTGGGGTGGAGATCGAGGGGATTATTCCCAATACTGACTCTGCAGCAATACCCAACGCTTGGGAGGATTATTACTACTTCTGACGCTGATGCTAAGATTGGGAGGATTATTCCCCACGGAGTACACTGCTGGTACTCAGGACTGGTACCTGCTGTTAGGACCTTCTGTTGTGTCCCGGATTACAATTATTTGAGCCCTCTCCTTGCTATCCCCCTAGACTGGGTACTGCCACGCTATCTGCAGACCCCAATTGAGTGACTGTCATTTTTGTTAATAAAGCTTTGTGTGTTTACCATCTTCTTTGTGTGTGATCTGTCCTGCCTACGCTCTGTCACAGTTATATTTTAAGAGAGTAAAACTCACTAGCATATGAGAGACCAAAATCATATAGCACTGCCACACTCAAAATGATATAGCATTGACTGGCGAGTGTGATGATGTCACTGGCCAGGCTCCACCCAATATGTTTCATCACAGAAAGGACATCATCAGGGAAAGGAGCTGCATATGAGTCTATTTAGGAGAGGTTCATTTACAACAAGGCTTCATCAGAAGTCTTTTGGAGACTCCGCTATGTGAGGTTTATGTTGTCTCTGCATTCCTGCTGACTTTCTCTGTTGTTGCTCAGATGTGTCTTAAACTGGCTTAAGCATGGCTGATTGAGCACAAAGACGGGATTTAAATCTTACTGTTTTTGTTACCAGCTTGTGAATTCGGGGGAAAACTAGGGTGGCACTGTGTTCGATATTATTCCTTCATTCTCCCCATGGCTTGGGGTTCATCAGACCTCACTATTGTTAAAGTGATTACAAAAATCCTGTTTTCTTTTTCTTCCACGGAGAGACACAGAAAGTCTTTATCCTTCAGTTAGTTTAAGCAGTACAACTGAAGGGAGTGTCATAGAGCAAACTATGCTAATTGGCGCAAGAAAAAACAACAGAAAACTAGAGACTGCTCAAAGATCCACCTGAAGGACCTTATGACTGAAGCTGGCATCATTTGAGGTCACAATGTGAACAAAAGAACATGTGTCAGCCTTCAAAATTTGGGAAATATTTGCATGATGCCTGAACCACCTAGAAACGGTGGACTGAGAAGCTGCAGCACCTTTATAGGGTTAGTTGAGAATTGCAAAATAGAAAGCAGTCTTTAAAAAAAACTGGTGCCTGAGAAAACGCTTCTCACAACCCAAACCACATCCAGACAATGAAAGGAAATTTCCCTTTGGTAAATCGGAGCTGGCCAAAGGAATGGGAGAAAAATGTGCAGACTGAGGTGGAAGGCAGATACTACTTTAGGTAAAAAGAAAGTCATGGGCCTCAAACCCACCTTGTCACTGTGCAAAACCAGAAAGGGTTCCTTGCAGGACAAGAGCATTATTTCAGACACCTTGTGGAGGAGATTGCTACAAGTGTTATCACCTTGTGAGTGAATGCATAGGAAATATATTTCTCTAATGGGTTCAAATGATGTTTGAATGCAGAGAGGGAATCACAGGGAACAGATGTGGAGTAACTATCTGGGAGACCTTGCTATACAAAGGTCCTACAAACATCCTAATTAAAAAGTGAAAGGATAGTGATCTCTGAAACATAATAGAAAGAGCAGACACCAGATGCGTTGTACAGCTAAATGTCAAATGCTGGTCCCAGACCCCAGCTGCAGGAAGGAGAGAACTCGTCCCATCAAGAAACTCCTGGGGTGGAAGCCCTGGGACTCACACCAAACTATTATACCTGTCTAAAGATGGATCTTGTAAAAAATAGATACCTAGATTTTAGCATAAGAAGAATCACAGACTTAGAGATGCCCCTTTCCATCAGAGCCAAAGCTTTACCAGCCTCTCATTAAAGCCAGCAGTCACGAACCAGGATAGCAAATTGGTACTTAGGAAAGGGGATCCTGGCTATCCAGCAAAGCTCACTAAGGGTCTACCAGCAGTCTTACCAGGCAAGTAATCCACATCCACCTGGGCCAGTCCAGAGCAATGAGGATCACTAGAATGCCATGCATCTGGATTCTGCAAAGCAGACACGAAGTTTCAGGGGAAGAAAGGTGTACTGATCACACGGAGCCACCAGAGAATCCACAGCTTCTGCTAGAGGATCTCTGTATCTGGAGGCAAACTTGTCCAGTTTGTTATTGAACTTGGAGGGCAGGAATTTGACATCAAGTATTCTCCACTTGCCATAAAGGTCCTGGAACACCTCCTGCCAGTTGCTCATGCCTGGAATGTACATGAATGAAAAGGCTGAACGTTTACACGGAAAAAAAAGGTTGCTCTTTAAACAAGAATCTTTAATTCACCTGCACCACCAACTCCAATCTACACTCTGCCACAGTGCACAGAGGACCATCCTCCTCCAACACAATTCCTAGAATGTTCGAATTGTGGTCCCACATTGATCACTGTAATTCCAACAGCCCCTATGTCAATACAGACAACACTACTGGCAAGGAGGTGGTGGAAGCAACCACAAAATTTGGCAGAGGAATCATGAAACCGACACTGTAAGAAATAGATTCTCTGGGCACCGTGGTGCACGAATGGTAGAACGGGTAAATGTAGTCTCTTTTTTTACAGGAGAATTTTTTTTTTCTTCCTGCAATTTTTTTCACATGGTCACTTTAACGCCTTTATAGGATTTGCGTGAAAATATATATGTGGATCTGCAAGTTAAGGTTTAGCAGGTGTGCCTTTTTAATGCTAAGCAGCAATTTTAATAAAACCAAGCAGTTAGACTATTATTGCCAGCTGCTTATGCTGTGCACACATGGGGCCGCTTATTAGCAGGGAAATAATGGAGATCGCATAGTAATGTCCTCTTGAAGTTCTTTGTTAAAATTATGTTCTTCCATTTTTGCGAACTTTCTTGGTTAACTAAGGTTTTGCAAGAGGATAAATGTTCAGAATATATAGACGAAAAACAGAATTACAGTTTTTACTGTTCCACTGGTAACTATAAACTAGATTTCACTTGATGCTTCCATAAAAATCTACTGAAATATTAAGTCCTAGATAAAGCATAACAGTCTTTCATTCTAGTCTGTTCAGCTGTGTCTCAATTTAGCTTTTGTAGATCAAGAGCAGCTTTATCTGCAGGCCTTGTTTTTTCTTAGCTATAACAGCTTTCTTGTAGGGCCAGTTCACACCAGCCTCAGTCTAAAATGCTCAGTTTTAGTGCATGGGCATGTGTCCTTTCTGCTGGGTGGTAAAGGGGAGGTGCGACCTGTCAGTGAACCACGCTGTTTACATATTTAGATTTTTTTTTCTTTTTAACCACCTCCCACCCGCCGTATAGGAAAATGATGGATGGGTGGGAGCTCTCTTGTTTTTGGAGGATGTCATATTATGTCCCCCCACCATGACTGCACATGCGCTTCATCGGGGACGCTCTGCGCGGCGATCAGTGGTCTGCTGTATCCCTAGAATACAGCGGATCACCGGTTATCAGCAGTCCACTCCTCACACTGGCAGCGCGTTGGGAGAGGAGAGCATGAAAGAGGCATTCCTCAGAGGGGACATCTACACTGATAGTCAATGCACTGATTATCAGTGCCCTGATTATCAGTGCAGCTTCAACAACAGTGCTGCCTTTTAGCGCCCATCATTGCCGCCAATCAGTGCCCATCAATGCCAGATATCAGTGTCCATCAATGTCCCTTATCAGTGCCCATCAGAGCTGCCTTTCACTGCCCATTAGTGATTCATGTCAATGCCCATCTGTGACGCCTCTCAGTGCCTCCTCATCAGTGCAGTCTATCAGAACCCATCATTGCCACCTATCAGTGCCAATCACTGCCATCTATCAGTGCCACCTATCAGTGCCAATCAGTGCCAGTCAGTGCTGCCTATCAGTGCCCATCAATGCTGCCTATAAATGCCCATCAGTGGCATATATCATTGCCTATGAGTGCTGCCTTTAAGTGCCCATCAGTGATGCCTGTCAATGCCTATCAGTGCCTCCTCATCAGTGCAGTCTATCAGTACCTATCAGTGCCACCTATCAGTGCCAATAACTGCCACCTATCAGTGCCAGTCAGTGCTGCCTATCAGTGCCCATCAGTGCCACCTATCAGTGCAAATCAGTGCCACTTATCAGTGTCAGTCAGTGCCACCTATCAGTGCCACATATCAGTGACCTTTCATTAATAATAATGCTTGTCAGTACCCATCAGTGCCGCCCTACCAGTGCTCATCAGTGCCACCTATCAGTGCAGCCTCATCAACACACATCAGTAAAGGAGAATAATTACCTATTTACAAAATTTTATAACTGAAACTAAGAAAAACTTTTTTTTCAAAATGTTGTCTTTTTTAGTTTGTTTAGCAAAAAATAAAAACCCCAGTAGTGATTAAATGCCACCAAAAGAAAGCTCTGTAAGTTTCAAAAAAATTATAAAAATTTGGTTTGGGTACAGCGTTGCATGACTGCGTAAAACTGTGACAGCGCTGAATGTTATTCAGGAAGTGTGACAGTGCCCGGTAATGTTGGTTAACACCTGTGGCTGACGGCAAATAGCAGTTCACTGTGGCCGGGAGGGAGTCATATGATGTCCTCCCAGAACGCGCTCGCCTGCACTCCGCTGGGGGCACCTGGCGATCTCCGTGATCACTGTGTCCTATGGACACAGCTGATCACGTGATGTGGTAAAAGGGACAATCACAGCGGCCTTTTACCACGTGATCAGCCGTGTCCAATGACACGCTGATCACTGGGAAAAGCAATTGCCAGTTCTCGGCTGTACTTTCCTCACGCTGTCAAAGTGTGAGGAAAGTGGTGCCGAGAACCGGCAGTTGTCAGAGCAGAGATTGGCACCGATCATCAGGGCACTGATGATCAGTGCCCTGATGATCGGTGCCCAGCAGTGCCACCCACCAGTTCCGCCCACCTGTGCATAGCAGTGCACCCACCTGTGCCTAGCAGTGCGCCCACCTGTGCCCAGTAGTGCACCCACAGTGGCACCCAGCAGTGCCACACACCTGTGCTCAGAAGTGCAACCTACCTGTGCCCAGCAGTGCCACCCACCAGTGCCCACTCACATGAGCCCACCAATGCCACCCACCTGTGCCCACCAGTGCCACCCACCAGTGCAGCCCATCAGTGCTGCCAGTCAGTGCCCAGTGGTTGTGCCAGTCAGTGCTCAGCAGGTGTGCCAGTCAATGCTTAGCAGTGCCGCCAGTCAGTGCCTAGCAGTGATGCCAGTCAGTGCCACCTATCAGTGCTGTCTATCAGTGCCACCTATCAATGTTGCCTATCCGTGACACCTCATTAGTGCTGCCTATCAGTGCCGCCTATCCGTGCCACCTCATTAGTGCTGCCTATCAGTGCTGCCTATCAGTTCCCATCAGTGCTGCCTATCAGTGCCACCTGTTAGTACCCATCAGTGCTGCCTCATCAACGCACATCAGTGAAGGAGAAATATTACCTGTTTGAAAAATGTTATAATAGAAACAAAGAAACTTTTTTTTTTTTAATTTTTTGCACTTTTTTTGTTTATAGCGCAAAAAATAAAGTGCCCAGTGGCGATTAAATACCACCAAAAGAAAGCTCTATTTGTGAGAAAAAAAATGATAAAAATTTCATATGAGTACAATCTTGCATGACCGTGTAATTGTCATTCAAAGTGCAACAGTGCTGAAAGCTGAAAAAATTGGCCTGGTAAAGAAGGGGGTATAAGTGCCCGGTAGGCAAGTGGTTAAAGTAAGTCTTTGTGCCCAGGTGGTGGGATGGACTTCTTGGTCATGTGATCATTATGATTGGCTGTCACAGTGGTCACTTGACCGGGAGCCCATCTTGCCAGCTCATGAACATGAGTAGAGACCAAGGAACCTCAGCCACCCCTGGCAGGACTGGTGCTAGACTATTTTGCACCCTAGGCAATATCAGCTACTTGCGCCCCCAAATTCAAATGTCTTTCAGTTTGCAAAAATAACTGCCATATGATGCCACCAGCACCAATATTAAAGACAAAATATATATTAACCAAATATAAATTAACTGTATTAACCAATCAGACAGAGAAATTCAACTGTCAGTGTGGGACTGAGGTACTGTATGTCCTCTGGCAAAGTCTGGCAAAGGCTCCCAGGCTCTGTTAATCAGTGTCACGGACAGACTGTATCTGTAGCTGGCAGTGGCAGGGTGCCAGTTGCAGTGAGTGGAGGATGGTGGATCCACACTCTGACAGATCCCAGGCTGGAATTCCCCAGGGAATGGGGGGCGTTAAATGCTGTGACAGCAGGCAGCCAAACACACGTACAAAGAGAGAACACCTGAACTGAACGATCCCACACAGTGACAGAACCGACAAAACACAATACAACCAACACTTACACAGATCAGGAGCGCCAGGAATCCCACAGAGCTAGTTTTGGCCTGTGCTGCACCCAAGCGCCCCTAGGTGGCAGTGCGCCCTAGTCGGCTGCCTAGTTTGCCTAGTAGAAGCACTGACCCTGGTCCCTGGACATATATGCGTAGCATGTGGGAGTTAAAAGCCTACCCTCTATTCTACTGCAGATATGCATTATGTGAGGTTAAAGTGGTATTAAACCCAAAAACAAAAATGTAATATATTGCAGTTAACCAATTCTTAGATATGATGGTTGTATTAGTTTTCTTTTTTAGGCTCTTTTCCTTTAGTTTTCACCTGGTGATCCAGCCAGTGGCACAATTCCTGTCTTAGGGTGTCTGCATTTTAGATGAAGTAGTAAAGCAGACACCTTTGGACAGCAGCATTGTAAATCTTGGGGAGAGGGTAGTCTTAGTTTAGCAGATTTAGATGAATGTGACTAACAAATTGAGCTGAACTCCAGATAACACTTTACAAGCAGTTACAGCAATCAGCTTTTTTCCTTTTGGAATAAGGGTTTTACATAAATAAATAACAGATGATCATTGTAAGCACCCTTGTCAGTGGTAAATAGTTTATCTCAACCCACTAATTGCTACTTTGCCTGAACATCTTGGTCTGTTAATGGAAGCTGAAAAATAACAGACTTACTGGCTGAACCACCAGGTGAAAATAAAAGAAAAAAGCTTAAAATAATGAATGCAGCCACAACAATTAAGGATTGGTATGCTTCCATTTAATACAATTTTTGTTTTCAGGTTTATTACCGCTTTAACTGAAATGAGACAGTCCAAAGTTACACTCCATTCAGAGGCGTAACTAGAACCTTCAGGGCCCGGTGCAAGAAACCATGAGGGGCCCCCTGACCCCTGGCTGGGGCCCTTTCCTCCAGCCCTTCCCACTGATCTCTGGGCCCTTTACTATCATTGTGAAGCCCTTTATTATGGTCCTGTACTCTTTCACATGTTCTTCAGTGGGTCCCTTTCCTGCCATCTTGCCCCCCCCCCCCCCCCCATGGTGGCAAAATGCCAGGGCCCAGTCGCAACTGCGACCTTTGAAACCCTGGTAGTTCCACCACTGGTTTCAGTCATTTTTGTTATTTTATTTTCTATTATTTTTATTATACCCCCGTTGGAAGGGCTTTGGTGAAATTTCAGGGATCTAAACAAACCTCCGGTGTTCCATCCTTGAGACAAAGAAAGAATGAATGCACTGGAATAGCTCTGTACAGAGCTTCTTGTTCATTCACAAACTGAAGCATAAAAAACACAGTTTACAATTCTTCACTCCATTATGAATGAATGGTATGGATCACTGACACTGATTTAGAAAAGGAAGGGGCCAGTAAATGTCATATTTAACAGCCCCTTCTCTGCTCTCCATTCTGAAAGCATCCCCCACAGCAGCTTGCAGGAGAGGGGAGTGGGGACCAGAGGAGCACACAGTACAGCAGGACCTATATGGGAGGTGCAGCCGGGACGGCATATAGAGGAACCTATCCTATCCATTTTTCTCCTGCAGCCACTGAATGCCTGCAAGAGGGAAAGGATGAGAAGCAGGCTTTCAGCAGCTGCAGGAGGAAAATGGAGGGGATCAGTTCCTATATGCTGCCCCTGCCCCTCCTATCCAGATGTACAGGGAAGCTGCATGGGCCCCCTGGAGCACGGGGTCAGGACACAATTGCGACCCTTGTGACCCCTGTAGTTAAGCCGCTGGAGAAAAATGCTACGTCTGCATTTTTCCACACTACACATCACACACTGTGGTGTGAATGGGTCACATAGAAAACAATTGTTTTCTATGTGCCCTTGTGATGACTGGCATTGCAGAAAAAAGCAAAAAAGAAAAGTCATCACACATAGTGTGAACAGACCCATACACCTGGGAAACATTTATTTCTTATATTATTTTCTGCTTCCCTTGTCCAGACAAACATACACCAGTGAAAGGCTTATGACACACTAGAAATCCTTTTGTTGCTGCAACTTGCCAGTAACAAGATCCCTGTACAGAGCACAGTGTCAACTTGCCTGTTTCTACAGTATCACTTCTTTGCTGGTTGAAATGCTGCAGAATCACCAATGCCAGGGAGCGATACCATTCTCGTCTGGCTAGCAAGAGCTTCTTTGTAGAAATTGGTGTTTTGTTCCTTTGCCTTCTTTATTGATCCTGTCACCAGTAAAGGGGTTAGTGTGTCTCATACCATACTTTATACTTCTCTCAGTCTCACTTCTCCATGTGACCTGTGCTCCTCTCCATGGCTGCCCCAGAGAACCAGTAGAGAGGAAGTTCAACATAAACTATATTTTTAATGCATAAAGTAGAACACATTCTGAACATAGAGAAAACCTCTAAACCTATACCAAGAGAAGTACTAATATTGCAGGGGCGGACTGACAACTCATGGGGCCCCCGGGCAATAGGGGATCATGGGGCCCCTGTGTCCTTGCCCAAACTCAAAAAAGCCTATGAAAAAGGTAACAGGGGCATCTCATGGGGCCCCTACTGACCCCGGGCCCTCGGGCAGTGCCAGAGTTTCCAAATGGTCAGTCGGCCCCTGTAAGGTTGTTATTTTTTTCTTAACAGCTCCATGGGGGCGCTAAAGCCACATCTCAAATGGAAAATGCTAAAGTGCTATGTGCAAAATTCCCTAAAAAACCTATAACAAATATAGAGCAATCGGTGAAATCTATATGCATGAGAAACCATCAAATAAATGCAACAATTTGTAAATTTACGTCAAATACATAAAATAAAGTCCATGACCTCAAATATCAAAGTCTTTAAAACACAAAGGTGCTAAGTGCTCAGTCTCCTTCACCACAAGGTATCCATATTCCACACGGTGATATGGTAAAATTTATATAAGTCACCAGACGAATATGACCTCTTGAATTAAAAAGAAGGTGTAATGCGTTTGTTGATATAACAATAAAAGCTGACAAAAGCTCAGCCTGTAGTGATGTCTCCAATATTTTTATTTACTCCACAGAAACCACATCAGAACCCAAGGATAAAAGTTTTATATAGTGTAGAATTTATTGATAAAATTGAAACAAAATAAAAATGCTCACATGATAATGTGCCTGAATACCGGCACTAGATATTACATCGTGTAGTCCTGCAATGCCGTCATGTATACACCACCTAGGCTAGCGTGTGTTCCAACTAACAGGAAGTACTGCGACCAGAAGTCAGTGACCGAAGTTCCTGATGTCATCAGGAAGCAGACCTACGGCCATTTTTTAGGTGTCTTATATAAGACACACCAAGCTCTAATAGGACGGAGCAACGATGGACAAACTCACCCTCCAATACCCCATTTACAATTAGCCCTGCATTACCCTGCTGTAATATGGCCATGGAAGATTGAGACTATATCCAATAGACTGTATTACATGTATGTGTCCACCTCCACCAAATTCTACCGAAAGATTATACCATACTCCACTCCAATCATGGTTTTAATGTAAGAAACCTAAACTAACCCCCCCAAAAAAAAATAAAAAATAAAAATTATAAAATGTGTACAACAATAAAAACAAAAATAGCCCTGAATATATTGAATCCCTCTAAGAGAACAAGTACCTTTCTAGTGAGGGTTGGGTTCTATCGGTGTAGGAGATGCAAAGCGTGTAGAATTACCAACAGTAAAGATAGAAAAATAGAGGAGTTTCAGACATTTAGTACCAACAAACAATATAAAATCAAACAGTTTATCACTTGCGACATTAAGTTTGTTACTTATGTGTTGGAATGTCCTTGCTGCATTCAGTATGTGGGCAGAACAACAAGTAATTTACGCACTAGATAAAACTTTTACCCTTGTGTTCTGATGTGGTTTCTGTGGAGTAAATAAGAAGTTTGGAGACATCACTACAGGCTGATCTTTTGTCTGCTTTTATTGTGATACCAGCAAGCGCATTAGACCTTCTTTTTAATTCAAGAGGTCATATTTGTTCGGTGAGTTATATAAATTTACCATATCACCGAGTGGAATGTGGATAGCTTGTGGTGAAGGAGACTGAGCACTTAGTACCTTTTATGTTTTAGAGACTTTGATATTTGAGGT